AGGCTCTGCCGGAGGGGCTGAGCCTGCAGTGGAAAAGGATTTTACTTTCCCAAAGTCAAGGTCTGGGGAACTTGCTCCTAAAATGATGCTTTTAAAAAATATCAAGTAACGCCACGGAGGAGTCAGTTCACTGCTGGAAATCCCATTTTGCTTGATGTCAGCAATTCAGAAGAAGCCCATCTGCAGGAAATTAGAATGACAATTTCCTCTTTAAGTGAAGAGGAATTACAGCTGTAATTCCTCTTCGCTGTAATCGAGGAGGCAGTGAACAGCCTCCTCTCCCCTTCCTTAATACCAATTACTCTTAAAAGTTGGAGCCATGTGCAGAAACATCTCTACCCCATCCTGCTACCTAGAGGCCATTGCTGCTGCACTCCAGGAAAAACATACCCAGAGGTGAAAACCAGCTGCTTTTGTGCTATTTTGTCATTTCTAAGGATGGATATGCACTTGTTATTTTTACACTGTAAATTTTCAGCATGAGAAGGATGTCCTGCTGCATGCTTGTAGAGTGTCTGCCACAGTTGGCTCTTATTTTGTTGAGATCTGAAGTGTTAAATAAGGAAAATAGCATCAGAAGTTTGCAGTGTTGCTTCAAATGCTGGGCATGAGAGGTTTCTCTCCTGGAAGAACGTGTGCTGAGGAAGGACAGATGAGGAGAAGCACTATCACGCAGGGAGAGAGCAGCTCAGTATTTGAAGACTGGATGGTATGTATTTTGCAGTAAAACTTTCTTGTAAGAAGCACATGGAGCAAAACTCAGGGCAGCTGCAAAAGGCTGCAGGTCTACAACTCTCAATGTGTTTGCAATGCTTTGAGGACCAAACTGGTCTTGCCCATGGAAGGCTGATATGGTTCATGCACATATGAAGATAACCAGAAATAAAAACTTGGGTAGAGAATGTGCTCATGGGAGGCCATTCCCAAGCCATGTCTTAGTGACACCATGAGGCCAAAGTGTCATGCCAGGTCCACAGAACATTTCATCAAAGCTGGACCTAGCGTGTGGCTGAATTTAGGACCTCTTCTGTAAGGTTTTGCCATCAGACTGCTGTCTGAGAAGATCTTTTCCCATTAACAGTTGTCAGTATCTTCCTGCTCCTCCCAGTGCTGCTGCTGGAGCTGATGGGAGTTTGATGGTGATTTAATCCAGGCTTTTAAAGGAGGGAAAAAAGAAAGTTTTGACAGTTCCATATATAGTCCTCTGACTCACAGAATTCATGTGTCAAACACCGAAGATGGGTTAAGTAGAATTAAGTTCTGGATTTGTTATAAATAGGCATTAAGTAACATGAATGTATTACATTTGCATGAAAATACGGGCCTGATTCTCTGTCTTACCCCACAGATGATCTTTGACATGGATGGGACGCTCCCCACGTAGGTGAGCTCAGATCAGAGCCAGCCCAGCTCTGACCATCCCCTGCAGCCACCATTTAGCCCCTGGTGAAACGGGGAAATCTGAATAAATATTGGTGAAATCAGGAAGGATTTACGCTGCTTGCACAGATCAGAATTTGGCCCTTAAAATAATACAAGTAGTTTTAATTAGACCCCAAATCTGCAGCTGAAGGAATAATTTCTCCATGTCAATCAGTGCTAAATGTACCTATTAAATCAGGGAAGATGGGTTAAGATTAAAATTGCATAAAAAGTCCCTTTTCTTCTGTTTCTCCCAGAAGATGGAGATTATTGGATTCAGATGTTACGGACAATCTCGTCCTGCTCCGTTGTGCTCAGTCACAGCTTAAAGATCCATTTGGACAATGAAGTCACCCTCACTCAGAGCAAGTCTGACAGTCGAGCATTGTTTGGGTGAAAAAGTCCCCTTTAGTAAAATAAATACTTCTGCAACGAGTGTGACAGACACAGACTCTACCAAATCAGATCCCTCCTCAATAGTTTAATTTACTGACTTGTTTGTTGCTAAACAATTGAGAATTGGTCCATGGAGAAGGAACACAAAAAGGACAGATCATATGGGCTGTATTTTGAGACTGGACTAGTTCAAGCCAAGGGAAATCAGGCTTTTGAGCTGCACAGCAGCATTGTTTCTGGAAAAATAATGTCTATCCCTTTATTCTGAGCTGGAGGTTTGGCCCTATTTCTGCTGAGAGTGAAGAGAAGCAAACTGGAGAGAAGGGATCTGCAGTATGACACAGCCAGGGCCACCGAAACAGTGACAACCTCATCCCCAGAGAGGTTGTTGTTGTTATTATCCCACAGAGCTGTCGAACATGCAGCAACATCATGAAAATCTCCAGGAGCTTCCCCCAGCCCCGGCGGGACCCTCAGGCTCCAGTGTCTTCCCAGCATCGTTCTACCCTTGGTTATGATTTTTCTTATCTAATGCCACATTTTGCTTTCAACCATGAAAATAATTTCCAATTAAATGCATCCTCAGAGCCTCTCTGGCTGTGAATTAGCCTGGAATTGATAGCTGGCTCTTAGCTCATCAAAGTCTCCAGGATAACGGGGAGGCACAGCCTGGAGAGCGATGCGCTGGTTGGGGATTTTGCTCATCGCCTTGAACTCGCCGCAGCCCTGCAAATTGGGACGCGGATGCCCTTTGCTCACCTTCAGCTCTTCTCTATTCCCCTTCATCCCAGAGCTGAGTAAGCAACACCAGAGCTACAAAACACAGCCTTGCTGCAGCCTCCAGCGCTGCCTCGTGCTTCTACCCTCCAGGGATCTCGGGGTTTGCTGAGTCCCTGGGAAGGAGCCGGCCACGCGCTCCGATTTATGGGGAAGGGATTATCATGGCTCCTGTGACTCAGCCCACTGCTCCCGTGTGCTTCGTGGCATGGAAAAAAGAGAGCAGCAAATGTGAATCCTCAACTTGTCCCCTATACTGGACAGCTGAACAGGATCTGTCCCCAGGTTGGCAGCACCAACCATTGCTCCTCTGCCAACAGCCAGCACCCCGGGGGTGACTGGGTGCTGAGGGCAATGGCACTGGTGTGGTGGTTGCTGCCTTTGCAGGAGCAAAACAGATATAAGGAAGGTCAGGGAGTGGCTGTGAGGCCGGCAAGGAAGAGAACGGCAGCTCTGGGTCCCCAAAGTGCTGCTGGGGACAGTGAAGTCCCGGGTGCTGCTTTCTGGTGGAGTGAAAGGCTTCAAAGTCCCAGGTTGTGGGATGATTCAAACGCTGCAAAGGGAAGCAAGAGTGGGTAAAATGAGGGTTTCTGCTTCCTGTGGCCGTGCAGCCGGGGAGACATCGGAGCACATGCTTCAGGGCTGGTCTTGGGGCATGGAAACCCCTTTGGTCCATGTTGCGTGGGCTCCCAGCACTGCCATGGGGCAAATGGGTGTGCCCC